AGGAGGGAAGACGACGACGGCGACAACGACGACAACGACGACAACGACGACAACGACGACAACGAGGGAGGAGGGAGGACGGCGACGACGCGAACGACGAAGAAGGAGGAAGGACTGCGACGCCGACGACGACAACGACGAGGGAGGAGGGAAGACGACGACGAGACGACGACGACAACGACGACGACGACGGCGACGAAATAGGAGGGACGACGACGAGACGCCGACGACGGACGACGACGACGAGGGACGACGACGAGACGCCGACGACGGACGACGACGACGACGACGAGGGAGGAGGAGGAAGGACGACCACGGCGACAACGACGACGGAAACGACCACGACGCCAAACAGGACGACGACGACGAACACGAGGAAAGACACAGGACGACGTAGGCGACGACGACGACGACGGAGGAGGGAGGACGGCGACGACGACGACGACGACGACAATGACGACGCCGCAAGAGCGCGCACGCACGCTTTTGTTGAAAATCCGTGTTGCGAAACCTTGTGGTTTTGTAAGATTTTTTGGAAGCACGATTTTGAAATCCTTCCGAAACCAGTGGGTTTTGAAGGATTTCGGCATGCGCGCGCGACGACGCGCGCGTCTGCACTTCGTCCCGTTTTTTGCAGAGGATTCTCGCGACGGCACACGCGCAAGGGCGTTCGACAGATTTCGACATGCGCGCGCGCGACGCCCGTTTGGTAGCATGTTGTGAAAATATTGAAAACACCTATGGTTTTCTTAAGATTTCGCAAGAGCTCGCGCGTAAGCTTTTTTAGCAAATCAGTGTTGCGAAACCCTGTGCTTCTGTATGTTTTTTGGAGACTCGATTGCGAAATCCTTCCCGCATCGAAGGTTTTTGAAGGATTTCGGCATGCGCGCGCGACAACGCGCGCGTGTGCACTTCGTCCCATTGTTTGCAAGGGATTCGCGAAAAAGTGTGATGTTAGATCAAAAAATGTCACCGCATAATGTTTTTACAAGGGAACCTCAAGGGGAGGGAAGCCGGTTGGCCTGGGACATTGTGATTTCATATTTAGGGTGGACATGTGGTCAGAATCAGATGTGATTTACATACCCGAAAGGGGGGGCGATAACTCCGGGGGGGGGTAGAGTCCATTCTGTTTTTGGAAAGGAGAATCCACTTTGACCGCCTTGAAGCTGTCCTCTCCACTGCTCGTGCAAACATCCCGCCCTCCCACCCGCAACTTGGTCGCAAAACCTCTTAAGTCAAGACCGTGACAGTAGGTACCACGTGGCACTTGGCCACGACACCGTCGCCGACGACGACAGCGACAACGACGACGACGGCGCCGCCGACACCGACTACGACGACACCAACGACGTCTCCAACGACTTCGACGACGACGACGACGACGACGACGACGACCCCGACGACGACGACGACGATGCCGACGACGATGACAACGCCGACGACGACGACGACGCCGACGCCGACGACGCCGACGCCGACGGCGACGAAGACAACGACGACGACGACGACAACGACGCCGCCAACGAAGACGACGACGACGAGGGAGGAGGGAGGACGACGACGGCGACAACGACGACAACAACGAGGGAGGAGGGAGGACGGCGACGCCGACGACGACAACGACGAGGGAGGAGGGAAGACGACGACGAGACGACGACGGCAACGAAATAGGAGGTTCGACGACGAGACGCCGACGACGGACGACGACGTCGAGGGAAGAGGAAACAACGACCACGGCGACAACGACGACGGAAACAACGACGACGCCAAGACGACGACGACGACGACGAGGAAAGACAGAGAACGACGACGCCGACGACGACGACGACGACGGAGGAGGGAGGACGGCGACGACGACGACGACGACGATGACGACGCCGCAAGAGCGCGCACGCACGCTTTTGTTGAAAGTCCGTGTTGCGAAACCTTGTGGTTTTGTAGGATTTTTGGAAGCGCGATTTTGAAATCCTTCTGAAACCAGTGGGTTTTGAAGGATTTCGGCATGCGCGCGCGACGACGCGCGCGTCTGCACTTCGTCCCGTTTTTTGCAGAGGACTCTCGCGACGGCACACGCGCAAGGGCGTTCGACAGATTTCGACATGCGCGCGCGCGAAGCCCGTTTGGTAGAATTTGGTGTAAACCTTGAAAACACCTATGGTTTTCTTAAGATTTCGCAAGAGCTCGCGCGTAAGTTTTTGTAGCAAATCAGTGTTGCGAAACCCTGTGTTTTTGTATGTGTTTTGGAAACTCGGTTGCGAAATCCTTCTGGCAACGAAGGTTTTTGAAGGATTTCGGCATGCGCGCGCGACGACGCGCGCGTATGCACTTCGTCATATGTTTTGCAAGGGATTCGTGAACAACTGTTATGTTAGAACAACAAATGTCACCGCATAGTGTTTTTTACAAGGGAACCTCAGGGGGGGGGATACCGGTTGGCCTGGGACATTGTGATTTCATATTTAGGGGGACAGGCCCGACGTAAGCCTACAGTCGGACTCGATTGGAGAGGACACGCGAGAGGACACAAGGCCCTTTCGAGGGCCACATCGCCACAGGAATGTAGGAAGCGTTGGGTCGCGAGACACAGGACACGAGGGTACCCTCGACCTGGCAGGGTCGACCCACTAACTCGGAAAGCCCGGGGCCTTCCGAGCCTTCCGAGAAGGGCTCCTCCTTCTCCTCCTCCTCCTCCTCCTCCTCCTCCTGCTCCTCCTCCTCCCCCGAGCCTTCCGAGCCTTCCCCCCTCGCTCGCCGCCCGAGGGAACTCTCGACACCCTCCCGGGGACAGCCTCCTCCTCCCAGGGCCGAGCCCTGCCGGCCCCGGGCGGGGCTCGGGGCCGCAGAGGCCTGGGCCTCCTCCTCCTCCTCCTCCTCCTCCTCCTCCTCCACCTCCTCCTCCTCCTCCTCCACCTCCTCCACCTCCTCCTCCCTCCTCCCCCTCTCCTCCCCCTCCCCCTCCTCCTCCTCCTCCTCCACCTCCTCCCCCTCCTCCTCCTCCTCCCCCTCCTCCTCCCCCTCCTCCTCCTCCTCCTCCTCCTTCTCCTCCTCCTGATCGCCGCGACGGAGGACTTCTGGTCCCCTGGCTCTTGGACGGCGTGGGCACAGTCAACCCGTCAAGCGAGGACGCACGGAAGGGGTGGACTGGTACGGGGGCGGAGGCATCGGCGTGGAATCGGCGATGCATCGCCGATAGATCGGCGATAGGCCCCCGATAGTGAATCCGCGCATTCCTGAGCGGGGGTGGTCTATCAGGCCGCTTGTCGGCGACCAGTGGGCGACTGGGTGTCGATGCATCCCCCCCTGTATGCCCATCCCTCTATCGTTGCCCCTGAGGGTGGAGATGCGAAAAACTGCATAAGCATGATTTCTCTGAGGTCCGCGTGGATGTTTTAGATCGGCGCTGAATCCCCCTCCCTGGCGCGCGCAGCGCGCCAGGGACGGCGCTGGACGCGCCGCCAACGAGGCCCAACGCCGATCCAAGAAAGCCGCGCGGAGCTCAACGGAATTACTAGTTTTCATGATGGCTATTCGATCTTGGGCGGCGTTGGGGCAGCATTGTCCCTCAGTGGCGTGTCCCCCGCCAAGAGAGCCCCGCGGCCTTCTCGGCGGGCTCCTGGGTCCCTCCCTGCACACCTCTGCCCGCCGCCGCTGTGGAGTGCAACCATGTGTGGCTTGGGCATTTAGCCATATCGCAACATGGGGAGTGCCTGAGTGAGGATCCCGCACTGCCTCTATCGGGCGACCTGGCCGAAGGAACCCATGTCGCAACCTGGGGCGTGCCTGAGGGAGGACCCCGCACTGCCTCTATCGGGCGACCTGGCCGAAGGAACCTGGCGTCCAAGCACGTCAGAGCCCTTCGTCTCGGTGGTCCGGGCCTCCCTTGGCCTCGCGGTGCGCCCTCGAGGGGCCGTGCCGCCGAACCGAGGCAGTGCGGGGTCCGCGACGAAGGGCGTAGACTTTGGCCCTCACGGCGCCCCTTCGCTTGTGGAAGAGGGCGGGATAACAGGCTGGGAAACGCGGGGTCGGATCTCGGTCGGGCATGCCCTCCTGCAGGAGGAGGAGGAGGAGGAGGAGGAGGAGGAGGAGGAGGAGCAGGAGCAGAGGAGGAGGAGGAGGAGGAGGAGGAGGAGGAGGAGTAGGAGCAGGAGGAGGAGGAGGAGGAGGATGAGGAGGGGTGGGGAGGAGGGCACATTCGCATGTTCAAGCCGTGATATAAAGCATAGTCGACCACTCGTCCCCATACGATCTGTTGGGCCGATTTTGAAGATGCCTCCTGTAGAGGGACAGGCCCAACCGAAGGCTAGGAAACACGGGGTCAGATGGCGTGGGCTTTTCGCCGCGCGGCGCCCAAGCTCTGCGGCTTCAGACCGTCCATGGGGCAGAGAGGGGGGGGGGAGAAGGTTGGGGGGGAAAGAGTCCTCCTCTCCTCCTTCTCTCCTCATCCTCTTCCTCGACCTCCTCTTCCTTCTCCTCCCCCTCCTTCTCTTCGACATCCTCTTGCTCCTCCGCCCCCCCGATTGGCAGGCCGCATCGACGCGTGACTTCAAGCACGAAGTGAAAGACGACGTGGGGCGCTCTCGACCGAACGGGAGAGGCAGCACAGCTACCGACACCCAATCCCGTCCCAATGTGTTTCTCACGTGAAGTCAACGCGGCGCATGCCGCGCGTGATGTCGTATCATCCGTGGCGGAGGTGCAGGGCTCGACCTCTTCGGATCACTCACGTCGGAGGCGAGCGCGAAGCTCGGTGCCCGCACGAGTTTGCGCAGACGAGTGCCTCCCTCGCTTGAGTCGCAGCTTCTTCGGCGTGTGAGTCTAACCTCGGAATGAAGAACGGGTGCGAAGCGCATCCGCCTGCGCTCAACAGGTGAACTGCTCGTGCGCCTGCCACGCGACCGCCCGGGCGCGCGGATCCCAACGCGAAGTGAACGTGAGGCTGACGTTGCATCGGTTCTTCATCGCGAAGAGAATAACCCAACGGCATGCCGCTTTCTCTCGCGCGATGTGTGCGGAGCCATGCACTTTGTAACGCCGACGGCAGCACGTCAAACCTGATCGGGAGCAGGTCGCGATCGTGTCCTTTCCGATTCGCAGAGTGGTGCCCACTGGTCCTGGTAGTGTCCGGGGCTCTATGGAGGGGAGTGAGAGCACTTGTAGACCGAAGCCCCGCCGCAGACGTGGATATGAGCGGAGGTTGATCTGTACGGTGTGAAACAAGAAGATGAACACATTACATCACACAACGGCACCAACCAAATGATGTCCCAAACAAGTTCGCAAGACGTCCACCCTTTTTCGCTCTCTGCCGCTGTTTCTCTGTTTCTCTCTCCCTCTCGCACTCTGTATACATATAATTATGACAACAGAGATGTATATCTCTATGTCGAGATATACCCCTCTTGTTCGAGTACGTTTGCTGTACAGGCTCTCCCAGCACGCTCTTCTCCCTACTCATGTATATATATATATATATTATATGTATGTATATGTATGAACAGGGACCGACCGTCCTGGCATACCTATAATCCTACCACGGAATGTTCTTAGAGCCCAACCTGTTCTCAGAACCAGTAAAGTGTTCTTGGGAAATAAATGTGAAAAAAACACATGCTAGTCCCAGCCAGAAATGTTCTAAAGACATTTCGCGCAGACCACGAACAGTTCTTAGAACATCATTTAGTGGGCCTGTAGGCGAGACAGGATGCTTCACCACTGCTTGATCTGACTCTCTCTCTCATTCTCATTGTCTTCTGTCACTCTCTCTCTCTCTCGATGTCCCTCGCGTCGGAGCTTCCTTCTACTCGCTGGTCTGTGCTCCCGTATGTACTGACTACTGTCCCAATCTGACCGATCGCCATCTCAGTGTATTACACACAAAAGATGTACGAGTATACCAATCTCTGTACGTACTTCTGCATACGCGTGTGATGATTAACATACACATGCATACATACGTATATACGTACGTACGTACGTACGTACATTCATACATTCGCACGAAGGAACGCGTTCAACGGGCGCTTGCCTTGAGAACTTTCGGCGGCGCGTTTGAACCGGGGGTGGGGGGGCGCCCCCCCCAAACGTTCGGCGCGGTCGAGCAGAACCAGGGGGACTCCCCTCCCCCCTCCCCCCCTCCCCGATAACCCCCCCAGAACTGGCCCTGCCGCGCTGGCGCCGGCAGCGGCGGCGGCGGCGGCGGCGGCTGGCAGCGCCGACGCCCATCCCCACGCCCACACCCACACCCACACCCACGCCCACGCCCACGCCCACACCAACCCCCAGGCCCAGGCCCACGCCAACGCCACGCCCACGCCCACGCAAACACTGACACGCACGCCCGCGCCCACGCCCACACCCACGCCCACCCCCACGCCCACGCCCACACCAACGCCCACGCCTACGCTCACACGCACGCCCACGCCCATACTCGCGCCCACACCCACGCCCACACACGCCCACGCCCACGCCCGCCCACGCCAACGCCCACGCCTACGCCCACGCCCACGCCCACGCCCACGCACGCCCACGCCCACTCCCGCGCCCACGCCCACGCCCAGCCAAGGCCCAGGCCCACGCCCACGAGCTAGCCGCCGCCGGCGAAGGCACGGGTGGAGGGGTTCCACCCCCCCCCTTGAACCGGGAGGGGCAATTCCGGACCCCTCCCCTCGAAGCGCCCACAGAACGCGCTCTTGCCTTCATACATGCACACATACATATAGAATGCATGCATGCATGGAGGGGTTCCACCCCCCCCCTTGAACCGGGAGGGGCAATTCCGGACCCCTCCCCTCGAAGCGCCCACAGAACGCGCTCTTGCCTTCATACATGCACACATACATATAGAATGCATGCATGCATGCATGCACAAAAACATACATAAGGCATGCATGCATGCATGCATACATGCATATATACATACTCACAACCACATCCATCCATCCATCCATCCATCCATCCATCCATCCATCCATACATGCATACATACATACATACAACCATACATGCATACATACATACGTACATACATACATACACGCATACATACATACATACGTATGTACATACATATCTACATACATACGTATATATACACATACATCAGTCCACCCATCCATCCATATATACATACACACGCAGGCACACATACCTACATACATACGTACTTGCACACATTCATGCATGTGCACCTACGCTCATACATACGCACGTACATACAACCATGTATATGTACGTACAACCATGCATTCATACAGGCATGCACACATGAATAGGTACGTACACATATACGCTCATATGTAAACATGCATACATACATTCATAGACACCTGCACACTTGCACACACACACACGCACATGCACACTTACACACATATATACACATGCACACCTACACATACATACATGCACACATACATGCATACATACATACATATAAGCATACATATATACACACATACCTACATACATACATACATATAAGCATACATACATACATACATACATACATACATACACACATACATACATACATGCACACACATATATATACACACACACACACTCCGTCTGCACCCTTTTTTTGTGCGCTCCGCCAGGGAGCTTGTCTAAGCCAGGAGCCCACCGGGCTAAGAAGGGTTTTCGAGCTAGGCTAGCTTGCGCGCTTGGACCCGCCTCCACTTGACCGCCGGCCGACCTGAGCACACACTCAGCACGATCACCGACGAGCAAGCACAACGGCAACATAACTAGCTGGCCTGCACTCGCGACCCCCTTCTCAGCTCTCCACGGACCCTACACTGGCATTCGCCGCTCTTTCCTCCCCCTCTCATATATTCCTCCTCCTCCAGTTCGGAGTGGGAAGACAGACAAGGAATAAGAGAGAGGGGAGCTTTTCAACCCGCCGCTGCTCGCAGACGGGAGGCGAGCAGCTCGCAGCGCTGGCGCTGCAAAGGCGAGAGGCTCAGCTGCGTGGCCTCGGCGGCGGCGTCCTGGACGTAAAGGCGGGCCGTTCTCGCCGAGGCCCACCTGCCCCGGAGCAGCGCTTGCTCCATCGAGCCGTGGCTGCGGAAATCGGCGGAAGCTCCGCCGCGCCTCCAGCTGTACAAGGTCAGCTTGGCGTCTTGCAGCTCCAGCAGCTCGCGCACCTGGCCGAAGATGCGCATGAAACTGCTCGGCTCCATCCCGAAGCACAGGTCGCCCTGTCGTGCACCGGTCTTGGCGTTGGCCGGAAGCGCGACCGCCACTGCGCTCCGCACGAGCACGAACTCGCGGGCGCCCGTCTGGTGCTGGCTCTTGGTGTTGCGCAGCTGCAGCACTGCCTTGCGCCGGGCCGGGTGCAGCTGCACGTCGGACCACGCGAGCGAGGTCATCTCGCCCGTCCGGAGGAGCGTGTCAAAGCCCGCCGCGAGCGTCGCCGCCGCGCCAAGCTGGCCCACGGCCGCAAACGCCCCCGCGAACGCTGCGGCGATCAGCGGCCCGATCGGCAGCGCCCGGCCAGCCGGCTCCAGTCACTGCCACGTCCTGGCGAGGCGCCAGCTCTCCTTGAGGTGCCCTCGCACCGGCGGGAACTCGTGAACGACGCCCGCAATTGCATTGTTAATCTGGACAGAGAGCCGCCATTCAGCCACCGGCTCTCGATGAAGGCGAACACCCCAGCGTCAACCTGGGCCGAGGTTCGAGGACTTCTCTCCTCCCTGATCCAGAAGTCGACGACCTCATCGACTGCCGCCCGATACCGCTGCAGGGTGAGAGGCGCGACCGTCGCCTCCCGCAGTGGCATGGCCCTCGCTGCAGCGCGCCTCTCCACTGACTTGGCTGCAGCCTGCTTTACCTTTGTCGCTGCCGAAACTCCAGCGCGACGGCGTGTCCGCGGGCATGTCGTCCGTGTCGCAGTAGCCGTAGAGTGGGTAGCCGGCCGTCGCAAGGAGCAAAGAGTTGGGCCTGCGGAGGGCGGGCTGGGGCGCCCGCGCGCTCGACCTGCCCTTGGTGCTGACGGCGGCGATCACTTGGGCATCGAGAATGTGCAGGTACCTGCAGTGGTGGCCCTCGGCCGCCCTGCGCCTCCAGCGCGCGCCTGCAACTGCGGCCACCAGCTCCAGCGCCGAGATGCGAGCCGCACGCTGCCAGCGAAAGCCCTCGGCGATCCGCCAGGCCCAGAGGTGAGTGCGGAGGGGAACCCGCGGCCACGCCCGGGCGCGGCACGGTGCACCCGTATCCAGCCGGACGTCGGCGCCTCCGCGGTCGGCCACCCGCAGGAACTCCACGACGAGGCTTCGCTCCAGCTGGGGGTCGCGATGCCCTGGCTGCTGGCAGTCGGGGACGACGTTCCAGTTCGCCTCGCATGCGCCCACGGCAAGGCAGCGCTGCCCTGATATAGCCGCCGCAAGCGCTCCCACTTG